CAAAAAAATCGAAAATCGAATATACGTAACCCGCGGAAATTCAAAATTCGCGATACTTTTTGAACACACCTCGTATATCTTTCCAATTTAGACTTAATTATTTTCTATTCATTTCAAGTTATAGAGATATAAAGAACGATCTACAATGGAGAATAATATAACGAAAACAAAACATTAAAAATTATCAATATCCCCAGAAACATTGCTTCTTTCTGCGCTGTATCAAAATATAGAGTAATCCGTAATCTGAAAACAGTGAACGAATTTTATGTTTTGACACGACGAGACTTTATGAAAATCGTTGATATAAAATAGAATAAAATGAAAATGATCATATCTGTGTATGTGTGACGATATCACATGAATATCCAATATCCTCAACATGTTTTTTCTATGTATCGTTAAAAATATACCTGAAACTTCAACAATATTATTTTCTATTTTTAATATTTCAAGAATTTGATATGTAAATATCTGCATACAACATTCATACCTTTATATTATTTGTATGTAATTCGTATTTTTATATCACGTAAACGTCTCAATGTAAATACAAGCTTGTGTATTATTTGTAATCTTTGAAAAGTTGTTTCAACTACGATTATAAATGACCTAAAAAGTAAGAAAAAAGAGAACAATTAATATGTTTCTGCACGCAATCTTTTTTATTTGTCAAGTCATTTATAATTTGCAGCGGAAACAACAATTTTTCGAAGATCACAAAGAGTCTCGCTACTAATCTTATGTGAAATAGATTTCAATTAAATCAGCTGATTTTTTCATATGTTGTAGCTTATAACCTGTTGAAAAAAAATGTAATAGATTCAAAACTAAATAATAAAAAAATAAAAACTCCAATTTTATCCGACCGAACTAGTAATTATTTATTTAAAAAATCATAACGTTTCGACCACGACAAAATATGGTCGAGACATGATTTTTCAAATTAAATAAATAATTGCTAGTTCGGTCGATAAAATTGGAGTCTTTATTTATTTGGTCTACTAACGATTTAAAAATGATTATAAATAATAAAAGATAAAATAGCTTCAAAGTTAAGTAAGTCAGTAATTCTCTATTATTTAGCTTTGAACCTATTACATTCTTTTGTTCAGCAGATCATAAACTGTAACTAATAAGAAAGTCAGCTGATTTTACAAGGAGTCATCTAGGATTTCATATAAATTCGCACTAATCCTATATAAAATTAAATCTTGGTAAAATCACAGACGGTTCCTCATATGTTGTAACTTATGAACAAAAATGTAATAGACTAAACAGTAAACAGTTACTAATTTACAGCCAGTCAGACACAAAAAACTCGGGCTCCGCGAGTTGTTTGATTGAGTTGTAGCTTAATAACTGTCCATTATTAGCTTTGAGGCTATTTTCTGTTCAGCAGATCACATATAACATATAAAAAAATCAGTATTTTTTTGGATTTAAATCCATTTCACAAAAGATTAATATAGAGTTTTTAAAAATTTTTTTAGCAGGCTTACTCACACACAAAAAAAAAGAGAACAACGTTAATGGATAGAAAATAATTCGAGGTAATCGACGAAACCGAGCCGCGAAATAAATCATCGCGCATCTGGAGACGATTCTGGCTGCATAAATTATGACTATATGACAGATCTATGAAAAAGTTTCAATCCAATCGCGGAGATATACGAAAGACAAGGAGGAGGAAACTTCAGTAATTCCCCCTTTACCTTCTTTGGGACTTTTATCGATAGCAAGGGCGAGCCTTTCGTCGAGGGTTCGATTAATTGAGCTCTCTCGCTGCCGCCTTTTTTCACTTTGCAGAGAGAAGCATCTATCCGCTTTCTTACGTGCTGTTTTCAGTCGCCAATCCACCTCTCTCTCTCTCTTTCTCTTTCCGCCCTTGCCTCGTCTTGTCGATTAATCTCGATCGCAATGGAATCGTGTCGACAACCTCATCCTCGCGATTCGATCACCGCTTGTGTTCTTCGCGAATCGAGTCTGAAAAGGACTTTTTACCGGTTGAAAACGAATCAGCTAAGAACGCGACGGCATTAAATGGTTACGATTCTTTCCAACTATTCGATTGGAAGCGCCGATAAATTAATTAAGAGATCACGACTGTGTACGCGAAATTATCTGGCCAATTAAACGTTAAAGCATAGAAAAGACGTAGCTGTCAAATTATCCTTTTAAGAGGATGCTGTTGTAGTTCTGTTTTATCGACTTTAAATTAGGTTAGGTTCACTTTTTATTGAATATACAGATTGAAAATCCTTCACAATGAAAGTACTGATAATAATAAATGGAGAGCATTGTTCTGCAACAAATTTTTGCTGTTTTATGCCTCGACGTCGATTCTGCACGCAAATATACATACATAATTAATTCAAGTACGAATCTTTTGATACAGGTTTTTTACCTCATTTTTATTACTTCTGTATTATTCTTTCATGTCATCTCTATTGGGAGCGCCATATTTTGTGCACAAATAAACTGCAGAACTTTTGTATTAAATAAGTATTGTTATGAGCTGTAACAAGAGGCCGATAAAAAAACTGTAATTTTTTGACTTTTATTGTTTTTATACAAAATTACAGCGCTCCCCTTTTATCATTATCAGTACTTTAATTGTGGAGAAGGATTTTTCAATCTGTATAACCAATAAAAAGAAAAGTCCTTGAACTTAAAATCGGTAAAACAGACATGGTCAGCATCCCCTTAAGCTAAGTCCATAAAAAATAATCTATGTGTTGGAGAATATAAATGTTACATTAAATGTGTACATGGCTGTCTTTTTAAAATAAATATTAAGATAAGCATACGTTTAAATCAGTATCGATTTTATACTCTCTCTTTTACGAATATCTAAATTTAAAGCAAATGAAAGACATCAATCGAATTCCTTTGAGTATCATCACAAAAGGATTTCCAGGCGATCCCGACTAAAACCGTTTACGATGTCTTCGGCCGCTCGCAGCTGCGCCTGTTTCAGGCTCTCGTATGAAGCGTGTCAGAGCTACCTCGAGCAATTACGTTGCAAAAGTTCCCTCGAAAGTTTTTCCACGCTTAACGAGCGTGATAAATTTCTGTTACGCGCCCTCGGGAGCGGCCGGACGCGAGGCCGAGAGTTTACAACGACGATAAAAATCTCGTTGAAATTATTCATGGCCAACGCTTATGCTCCTCTCTGACCCTTGGAAGAAAAAGGTGGTTAACTTGCTCCTCCAAGAATGATACAAGGGATAGAAGCGTCGCGCGATTATCATTGGCGCCATACGTGGAGCAAATAATTAGCTCTGATAGTATCTTAATTCAAAAGCAATTATTATTATTATTATTTTATATAATTATAATTATAATAAAATAAAATATAAAATAACATAAAATAATATAAATAAATAAATAATAATAATAATAATAATAATATTTACTATAATTATTATTTTACTTAATTACAATTTATTTTATTATAATTATTATTGTTACATGAAAAATTAATTGCTGTTCCTCCAAACACTAAAGATATATGCGTTCACTATTTTTCGTATTAATGTATAGTTTTATAAAGGAAATTAAAAAAACTTTGTAATTTTAATTTTTGCGTATCGTATCGTAATTACTGCTAGACGACGGCTAATTCAATTTAAAAAGGCGAGAAACGGTCAGTACCATCCTGCTATTCATAATTAATTTGCCATTATCCGTACTTCTCTTTCACCAGCATCGCGAAAGTACTGATTGGCATTTCGAGAAGTCAATTGAATAATTCATATTGGAAATATAAATTTTCAGCGTCGAGACAGATAAAATTATCACGACGATAAAATAAGCTGTAAACTATGCATATTTCGCTTGATACTGACATATGTAATAAGTTATGCAATTCAAACTTGTTCAATAACTTATTACAGATTTTCTTCAACTCTTTTGCTAATAAAGCATACTATTATACATATGTATGTTACATGATATTCATATTGTTCTCTTTTTATTCAAATATATTGTTTGGAATAGATGTAACAATCTATATTAATTTAATGTTTTACTACAATATTTCAATTTTTATACTTTCCATCTTTTATTACCGAATTTCCTCGACTCCAATATCGAACGCCATACTTGTGTGATATTTTAACAATAATACAATATCTACAATTTTTAAATATATATATTAATAAATTTTGCACATGCAAAGCGTGTGCTTGAAATACAAGCACATCAAAACAGATCATGCAACCTTATTAGCCGACCTGTCACATTGTGCCAACAACACTTGGTGGCTCCAAATAACCAAATCCACTTACACAATCGATCTGTACCCATTTCCGAAGAGCGGCGAATAATCGTGCTGTAGCAGTTACAGTTACAAACTCAATTTTGTTAGCTCGCCGGCAATCGATTCTTTTTGTCGTACGCCGTCAATCGCTACGAGAGCGCATCCATCAAATCGATGGGGGATGCTTTTGATCGCCTTTTATTCCCCTATCGGATCCCCATTGGTCGAGAGAGGGTGTCTCTCTCTTTCGTCTCGTGCAGAGACATTTTCCTCTTTCGGTTCCAGTGAGCAAGTAACAACTTCTTGATGGAGAGGATGTCAGAAGATCTTATTCTATTGCTTGTCAGAACTTTCTCTTTTTTTCTCACAATGTTATTAGAACATTGACAGCTATAACCCGACCGTTCAGTGTCTTTCCTTTTTATCCTTTTTTCATGAAATCCACGCATTTCGATCTTTAATATATAAAAAGCTTTCCACTTAAGTGTCTTTGGGAGGATTAAAATTCAACACAATGCGTCTCATCAATGACAAAATAATTTTTTCGATTTATTATTTATGTATTGATGGATAAAATATTATTAATCACAAATAATTCTTTCCATCAGTAAAAATAAAAAAATTTCTATCACTTGTGTGTGTTTTGTATTAATTAATATTTATCAATCTATGATCTCGTTTGAATCCGTCGCGCAGTTAGATAAAATCGAGGTATTAGAGCGATAATTTGACTTACTTTATGAAATTTTCCAGTAGTAATCGGATACCGCCGATGCCCAGCAGGAGGAAGCCCCAGTTGACGAATCCCGTGAAGTTGTCAAAGCCAGAGCTCCACGAGAAAAGGCTATCCCTGGGACGGTGACATCTGCAAAATAAAATATAATAAAATAAATAAAATATTTGAAACATAAAATCTTTTGGAAGTTGTAATATAATCTGGATAAAAAATAAAAGAATTTGAAAAATTCGTTAGAACGATCTTAATCATTTTTCAGCGCACAATGTTCTATACTTTATAAATAAAATATATAATAAGCCTTAATAAAATGTACTCTGTAATATTATTTCATTTCTTTCAAAGATTAAACTATAAGTAATATCTTCATGTATATTTTGTATTCGTCCTTTTGCGAGCTCTTTATGAATAGCGAACTCGTTATTATACCTACTAACCTAAGGAAATTCGATAATAGACCGTTGTCGAGTCGCTGAAGGGGAAGGTATTAAGGAGAATATTCTCATTCTGGCGCCATACTAGCAAAATGCCCCTTGTGAGAGTACGAAGAAAGACGTACGAACATCATGAAGAGATGAAAATGGTGCAATAAAGAGGTTTTCATATCGCACGGTTATACATGTCCTTATATCAATTTATGGACTGACGTATAGTTCACACGTGACGACGCGGTAAATGACACGAGTCATTTTCATCGCATAAAAGATACTCGTTATATAACGGATTCGAGGAAACAGAGGTCTGTCTCGAAGACAGACTCGCGGGATTTATGATTCTCCCATATGAATCTAGCAAAATGTAGTTTATAACGAACGATTGTAGCAAGATTATTTCTTCCTACTTTGTACTCTCGGTGGACGTTGATTTAGATCCATCAAATACCCGGGACATCATAAATTCTGTTTGAAGTATAATATCAGGCTATGGGCGGTAATAACGATGCATTCTCGGGGTCTATAAAGATACTATGGAATGTGTTTCACTTTCTTAAGAGCACTTATTTTAATTGTCTTTATTTGTTCTTAAAAGTTTTCTATACATGTATGTATAAATAACAGTTTCAATTATGTAATTTTTTCAAGAAAGTTTAACACGCATTTTCTCTCCTATTCGATAACCAATTTATATTTTGTGAACTTACTAGAGCAGTACAGTCTATCCTTTATACGTATTCAACTATCGTGAATCACAAGCGGGTCTTTTTATCGATCAAAGGTACAAGAGGCACTCGTATGTTTTGTGCCGCAAGACAAAACCCTTTCGAAAAGTTTATATGATGATCCTTATCGGTCCTCCTCGCGGAGCCAACCAGGGAGAAGGATGATAGACGCGTATCGTAAAAGCCGATTACGAAGACGCATCCGGTGTATAATCCACCCAAGAGACACCAAAGACAAGAGGGTTTTGTGTTACGACCCTCCGCCATGCGATGCTATAGATACTATTCAGATTTCAGGCACGGAGTATTGTTGGCGATGCGCACTTGTCAGTCACACGAGAGAGCGGTGCACCATATGGAATCTCCGATATCTAAAGTGCTTATTGAATGTGTATGTGTATATGTATGTACAATGTACATGACGACGCAAAAGGAGTATGTACTAAAAGGATCCCGAATGGTACCGCGGGTAAGTCGATTACATAGCGGAGAGAACAAAAGGAATAATGATCATAAGGTGAAACTTGTATCTCTCTCTGTATTGTACTCAAAGTCATTATTAATATTCTTCGTATTGTCACGTTACTTTGTCGCAACATCATTTGCGAAACTGGAAAATATTTCATTTTCAACAGGATCGCAAAAGTATTTTTAGGCTCTATTGTTAAAGGGATGCTGACTAGATCTGTTTATCGACAAATATTATTTTCATTTTACTCTTTATTGGCTATACAGAATGAACAAATCTGGGCTACTACATATGTGTATAAAAAATTAAGAAAACAAAATAATTACCGTTTTGCATTCTGTATAGCTAATAAAAAGTTAAATAAAAGTAATATTTGTCGATAAAACAGACCTAATCAGCATCCCCTTAACATTACTATATAATTAAGGAAATTCTTTAACTGTCTGTAACTGACAAAATTACTATTCTCGTATTTCTAGTCTGTCGTCACATTAATTATTTGACAGAATTAAAAATGCTTCTTCACGATTGCAATATATATGATTCTAGAAAACTCCGATTTCATATCAAAAATCGAGAAATAATTACGAAGAAATTATAGTTTGCCTTATCAATTTTTATCTCAATATGACGTCTAAAATTCAAGATGAGCTGTCAAATAATTCATCATAATATATGTGCTTTATATAAAAAGTGTACACTTTGCATGAATGTAAAAACAAGTTTCCTAGGATTGAAGTACATGACAAGCAATATTGTTATCCTCTAAATCTTGATTAGAAGTTTAATTTAAAAGTATAGTTCGTATTACAATTCATACGTATATATAGTAGAGCAAAAAACAGCAGTACATATTTCAAACCTATAATATTATAGTATTAAAAGTAGCAAAAAGTGATTCTATGAGTGCTATATATAGTTGGATTTCTAACAATGATTATTAATGTGGAATTCAAAATGTCAGTATAATTATTCTTCAAAAGTCAGATAATTATCGATATTTTTATTTCCAAAATAAAAGCGCTGTTATTTTGTCGAGGTCTGCTGAAGGATCTCCTTAAGAGAATTTTGAAAAGTTCCTAAGCAGTTTAGAAAAAGTCAGTCTTACAATTAGCAATCATTTTAATATGATACAATTTTATAAATAAATCTACAACAAAAAATTCAACAGAAAAAATAAAGAGAAGTTCATGTATTTTTGTATAAAAAAAATAAATAATAAATCTTACATCAAACAATACGATTTTGCTGACTTCTCGATTGGCTCTTACTTCGTGACCGCTCAGTATTATGCTATCATCGAGAAGCTTCTATATCACTTTCACGAAAGAACCTCTCGTCTTAAGTATTTACATGAAAGATCCTAGCAGAACCAAAGGCGTGGGCGATAAGATGTACCCTTGTCTCCTTGGAACTTTGGGAGGACTATAGAAGCTCGCAACCGAAAAGCCAGGAAATTGAATTTATATCCTTCGGGATACTACAATTTAACTTCCAAATCGCATAAATACCTCGCAGAAATATTGCGAAAACGCAACTTCTCCCCATTTCTATAAGATCTCTTTAAAAAACAAATGCAAATTACGGTTTTAAACGAGAAACGTACGTCAGTACGTTCCAAGTAAATTATTTCAAAAAATGTAACACGCTCTCTACGTTTTATTATTTTAATTCGTAATTATGCAAACTCTAGCGCTTAAGTTTGTTGTTAATATCGCGAACTCTCGCAACGACGGCGTCGCAACGATGACAATGCAATTTGTGTAGCAAAAGAATTCTGTCGGTTTTGCGTACAAAATGTAACGGGCGAACGTTATATATTGTCCCGTCCGTAATTACCCGCAGCCACCCTCAGGAGTGCGGTTTCTGCGTGTATTCAGCAGCATCGTCGCGCCTTCCCATTCCTCTCCCTCTCCCACTCTCACGTATAACGGCTCACCTAATAAACCCTCTCGACCTGCGCGCTGTAACTATTACTCAGAATTTATGGCAGATCGCGATAATTAATAGAGCCGCGATAGAAACGGCGGTTTGCGCACGAAGAGCTATCTCTCATACGCTTCTAGTATTGGGACAGCGTAGCGAACAGGATGCAGACGTGTCGCTATGGAAATTTGCTTATATGCATGAGGACACGGCACGTGTACGCTGGATATTTCCAAAGTGTCCTGCATCTTTGGAAAATGCGAGATAGAGCCACCAAATGTGATTTCTCGATTTTTGTCACACCCGGTAGCAATGTTGTGCTTAGATGATTTTAAAATTAGCTAGATAAAGATAAAATATGTAAATTTATCTTAGATAAGATGAAGATAATTTTGTTTTAAATATATCTAGATAAAATATAAAATTATATGGCGATTCATCTAGATAACTTCTAGATTATATTATTTTTAAGACCGCTTATGTAAACACAGTTATAAAAAAATGCAAATTATAAAAAGAATATAAAAATATATTTATATTTTTTATTTTTATGTGCTATGACTCTAAACCAAATTATCTGAACATTATTCTAGATAATTTAGTAAAGGTAACACTTTTTTTCATCTAAGATATATATATAAATAACACATTTTTATTATCTACATACATAAAGATAAGATGACGCCAAAATTTCATCTAGATGATCATCTATATAATTTTATTTAGATAACAGCAATCACTGCCCGGTAGGTTAGATTAAGTTAGATTCGTACGAAACACGATGAGTCATATGAGATAATTACGATGTGATATCAAACCGTAATGCTCCATAGTACATACTTTAATAGATATCACATGAAACATGGCTATATATTTTTAAAATATTTTCTATTTTAATTCCTTAGTATAATTACAATCTATCCAAATTATTGAACATTTAGCACTCATACGTCATTTAATAGAGTCAAAGAAATTTTTATTTTTAATCTATGAACTGACAGTTTGTCTGATTAAGTGACAGACTAATTTGTTTGCACGATTAAAGATTCTCTCACTAATTTTTATCATTAACTTTATAATTTCTTTCACTTCATAGGCACTTCGAAGTCATGATGTAAAATCTTATTTGGGATGGTGCGTCAGTTATGATTCTTTGGAATAGATTGGAAATGCTTTATATGATCTTATTATTAGAGTTTACAAACACTTTACTTTTTCCCTTCCCTCTCCGCTTCGCATTCACTATTAACACGTTATTATTTTCTATATTGATAAATTAGAGATGACAGTGTCGCCTTGTCATGTCGAGGAGCAGGAAACCACGCTTGAAGCTAGGCGCGCCCTCGGATGATTTATCGCGATTGTCGGCGGCACTTTTTAGACGAGGACCGAGGAGCGGCGTCTCCTCCGTGGGATAAGTTGCAATATCATACTTTAGTCCACTTTCTGAACAAACCGCAGCCGCGCGAAAGAGCAAAAAGGACCAACTAAGTTGTCGCTCCGCTCTTCCGGAACTGAGGGAGACGTGTTCCCAAAGCGCGCGCCACCTTCTTGCCGTTTCGAGGCAAATCGCTT